AAATGCTGGCCAGCCAGCGATGCCCACATCCCACAAATGAATAAAAAGAAAAAGTTCCCGCAGTTTGCTCTTTTAAGTTGAGCATTCACTAAATTGGGGTATCCAGCTATGATTAACGAGTCACATGCAGCCCTGAGTTCTGACAACTTGCTCCTATTTTAGCATTCACATTTTGGTTTGAAGTTTAGAGGCTTGGAAAGGACTGCTCCACCAGTTAAATCTTAAGTCAGAATCTCAAGAACAGTATCAACAGTTTGAGATGGATACAAAGTCATAGAAATGTTAGTCCAGTTATCCTGGCACATATCTAACCACACAAATGAAAAGCCCTGAATATTTCCACAATTTGTAAAAGTAAGTTCTCCCATTTGGAACATTATCCAGGAGCCAGCATGCTAGATAGTCAACATTACTATGAGTACAGGCCTCCAGCATGATGCACAGATCTACCCACGTTCCTATTCCCAAGCAAAATCACAACACTGCTCCCAGTGCAGCGAGGCATAAACTAGTGTTTAGACTCTAGAATCACCACCAATACCCCAAAATGCTGACAATCCTCAGCTACCAAGACCAACTCTTCCATGCCCTTGTGCTGTTCCACTTTATACTTCACCATTTGGCTGTTTGGTTCTACACTTTAAATAATCAGGCATTTTGACGAGATAGGTAAAGTAAATCCTGCTGACTGTAATTCTGTGGGAGAAAATAAATTTGACCGAATGAATAAAAAATATCCAATTGTAATACAAGAACATTCATTACACATTCAATATGTTCAAAGCTTGAATGATTCAAACTGCTACATATTATTTGGACCAGTACTTCCAGACTTGTTTCAATACAATTGCCAACAGCTTATAGTGAAAGTACTGCATACAAATGCACTTATTTAACAATAGCACTACCATGACATCTAGTGGTCAATCAGGCTTGATTCAATCACATGATGAAATACAATCTGAATACTCAAATTTCCAAATGAAATGCAATTAACTTTCAAAAGGAAAATTACAGGCACAAAAACAATTCTCCTCAGAAGTGATTGCTTCCTCAGGAAAGAATATCAAGCAGTGGAAAACAGACTCCATACAATTTTACTGTGTTTTGATACTTTGACATTCCTGCCATTCATTCAGGTTCTTTGTTGCCTCAAATCCTGTACTTTCCAATTCTCTTGTCCGCCTGGGGCTTCAATCTACCTGGATTTGTAGATTGCTTTTCTACCCCCTCCCTACAAAAGCTATCAACTTTGCCTTAGATGGCCAACTAATTTAACCATTAAGTCACCCACATACAGCTGGACTACATTAATCACTACTCACAACAGAAGAAAGAAGCTGAGAAGCTGAAGAGTTAAATGTACAAGATTGGATTGGCATGGGCTGAAACAATGGCAGAAATTGGGAACTATTGGAAGGTGAGGAGATCCTAGCGAATCTGAAAACCACCTGCCAGTACTGGGTCAGACAGATACAGTGGCACTAGACATTTGTCATTCCTCTGAACTAGAACTACTGTCCCCAGCAGTTTGGATGAAAGGCTCAGGATTGAAGCCATCTGAGGGAATAAATGTAAAGTGGAGTAGAAACTAGAGAACACGGAGTGGGGTCGGGAGGCAGGCAGGCAGTGGGGAAAAGTGAGCTCTGCAACATAATATTTTCCAGCAAATTAAATCCTAATTTCAGTTGTTGCCTTTGGCAACATTTCAGGCATACACTACAGCATCTGCCTCACATTTTAATTGAAGCATAAATTAACTCAGATTTAATTGAAAAAGGAAAGCTGTACTAATTCAGAAAAATAGCTCACATTTATACAATTTGAGTAGGGACCCATTATTTCTCCATTTGAATAAACTTTAAACTACTTCCATGGAATGAAAGTGAAATTAAAAACCAATATACTTAATTTCTACAAAAACTGAAAAATTGCCTTTAGCCAAAGTCTGAAAATACAAATGGAAACAGCTGAAAACAAACTTTATTGTGAGCTTAAGTGTTTACTGTTAAATACCAACATCTTGAAGACATACCAATTATAGCCATGATGATGATGGACAATATTAATGTGCTTTATAAAGACAAGGATCACACTGAATGTAGTTTGGGTGAATGCAAAAAGTTTTCATTTAATGGTCTTGTGTGCCAGTACTGTAAGTCTACAGCTTGAAGTTGGTACATCTTCATCAACTTGGCTACATCCACTCCTAAACTGATGTGTAGGCCTTTGTTCAAATAATAGAAGCTGCAGAAATTAGTTGATATGGGAAAAGAATCAACTCTACTCAAATGAAAACACCAAAACTGGGCATTCAAGCATTCTTTCTGCTGCGTTTGTCCACCATCCACATACAGAGCAGGCTACTTGTGTGTTACCATGCCTGCACAGGATGCAGATTCAATTTCTGCAAACTTAATCACATCATCACACAGAAATAATCAAGTGGAAGCAGGGTGCACCTTCACCAATTAAATGGTAGCAATAAACAGCAAAAATCCAACTCCAGCTACCAATGGCTGAGGAACCCAGAGAAATGATTTCACATCAGTGAGATTTAACCATCTCAGATTGAAAATGAAAGCTTACATTGGTTGTATAAAACATAAATCAGGGAGTGGTTGTGCCATATTATCGAGGACCATTTCATAATTTACAAAATCGGTTGTCAACTGAGACTTACACCACTGACTCAGTTTTTAAAAGGGGCTCAAGGTCCATACCTCTGAGCTAGAGCACCCAGGTTCAAGTCCCACCTGTTTCAGAGGTGCACAGTAAGATCTCTGAACAGGTTGATTATAAGATATCAACAAAATGAATTAATCTCAAGCAGCATTTACTCAGCGCAACCAACCTCTCAACATTCAGCACTATCCAGCTCTAGATCATATTACAAGGTTGATTCAGAAAGACAGAAGAGCTCAATTCCAAATGCCAGAAAGAGCAATCATGGCAGCATATGACAATCTATTAAGAAGCACTAGTACAATTCAAGTCAGAGGGAGAAAACCTGCCAGTGGTTAGTCAGTGCAAGCACAGCTGACGGTTGTAGTCATTGGAAGTCAATAACTTCCTTCTGGGTCATAGTCAAACAACTTGCAAACAGACCCTTCAATCCAACTAGTCCACACCAACCATATTCCCAAACTAAACTAGTTCCACTTGCCTGCATTTAGTCCCTATCCCTCCAAACCTTTACAATTCATGTAATTATCCAAATGTCTTAATTGTAACTGCACCGCATCTGCGACTTCTTCTGGCAGTTCATTCCACATACAAACCACCGTAAAAAGTAGTTACCCATTCTTTTTAAAACTTTCTCCTCTCACCTTAAAAATTATGCCCCCTAGTTTTGAACTCATTCACGATAGGAAAAAGACCCTTATTATTCACCTTATGTCCCTCATGATTTTATAAGTCTCTACAAGGCCACCCCTCAACCTATGTTCCAGTGAAAAACATCCCAGCCTATTTTTATTACTCAATACCTCCACTCCTAGCAACATCCTGGTAAATAGTTTCTGAACCCTCACCAATTTAATATCCTTCCTATAGTAGGGCAACCAGAACTGCACAAAGTACGCCAAACAAAGGCCTCATCAACATTCTGTACAACCTCAACATGACATCCCAACTCCTACACTCAAAAGTCTGAGCAATGAAGGCAAGCTTGCTACATGCCTTAATCGCCCTGTCTACTTCTAAAGAAAATTTCAAAGAATTAAAGTACCTGACACCCTAGGTCTCTGTTTCACAACACTATCCAAGGCCCTACCATTAATTGTACAAGTCATGCCCTTGTTTGTTTTACAAAAATGCAATATGTTGCATTTATCCAAATTAAACTCCATCTGCCACTCAGCCCATTAACCCATTTAATCAAGATCACCTAGTCATTTTAGATAATCTTCTTCACTGTCCACTATACCACCAATCTTGGTGTCATCCACAAGCTTACCAACTAGGCCTCCTATATTCTGAAAATTATTTATATGAATGACAAAAGTGGACCCAGCACCAATGCCTATGAAACACCACTGGTCACAGGCCTCAATCCTCAAGCTCTCCAAGGCAGTCTTAGGCCCAACTATCTTCAGATGCTTCCTCAATGACCATGCTTTATTGAAGGGTCAGAAGCAGAGAAGTTGCTGATAATTGCAAAATATTCAGTCTATTCTTAACACCTCAAACAACAGAATGATCTGTGTCCATGTGCAGCAAGACTTGGATATTACTGACACAAGTGGCAAGTAACATTCATACCAGACATAGATCAGATGACTGGAAGTGGTTAAAGAATCACCATTTGACATTCAAGGACTTTACCACTAAATCCACTACAATTAACATAGCAGCTCACCCTTGACAAGGCACTGAACTTGCCATAGAGACATCGTGGTTACAAGAACTGGTCAGATGCTGGCAACTGTGTAGTATCTCTCACCCCATTTCCCTAATGCCTGTTTGCTTACCATCTGCAAGGTATAACTCACGAGTAGAATGAATGCTGTCCACTTGGTTGGATGACTGCAGCTCTGACAACACCCAAAAAAATACTCATCAACAAGATGCACCACGCATCATCAACAAGATGCACCACGCAT